ATATATATATATATGTATATGAAGATACCATTTTAACTTGTGTATGGGGTAAATGCATCCATTCCAAGATTCCTTCTTGCCATAAACATGCAGTTGGGGTATATGAAGTTTTTATTATTATTAAATCCCATGGTGCTTTATAATCAACTTGTTTTAGCTTAGCTGTCTGTAGTTTTTCTTCTACCAATATTATTTTCTCCAAAGCTTCTGGTGTTAACTGTCGTTGTGATTTTGGATTAGCATCTCCTTTTAACAATTCAAATAGGGGGTGTAATTCTCCTGTAGTTATTTTTAAATAAGATCTTACCCAGTTTATATTCCCTAATAGTTTTTGAAAATCATTTAAAGTTTTCAATTTATCTATTTTAATACTCATTTTTTGTGAGCTGATTTCTTGCTCACCAATGACTTTTCCTAAGTAGTGTAAAGGCCTATTATATTGTATTTTATTTGGAGCTGTTATAAGACCATATTTAATGATCAAATCATGTCTTTTAATATTGATTCTGCAAAGTCTTTAGTTTTATGGGCCAATAGAATATCATCCATATAATGTATTATATAAGCATCCTTGTATTTGATCCTGATATCTCTCAATGCTCTATCCACAAATTTTTGACATAAAGTTGGACTATTTTTCATCTGCTGAGGAAGTACTTTCCATTGATACCTTTGAAAAGGTTGTTTTAAATTAGTTGATGGAACACTGAAAGCAAATCTCTGAGAATCCTCAGGACTTAATTGTATTGTAAAGAAACAATCTTGCAGGTCTATAATGATAATAAATAAGTCAAAGGGAATTGCCACCGGTGAAGGCAGACCAGGCTGTAAAACCCCCATGTCATGCATGGTTTCATTTATTGCTCTTAAATCTTGCAATAGTCTCCACTTACCGGATTTTTTCTTAATGACAAATATAGGTGTATTCCAGGGACTGGTTGATTCTACTAAATGTCCTTTATCTAGCTGTTCTTTCACTAATTCCTATACAGCCTGTATTTTTTTCTGAGGTAAGGGGCCACTCTCTGATTTTTATATATCTGTACCACTTCTTTAAGAGGTCTAATCATTATTTTTATTTCTCCAGTGAAATCAGAGTCTATGACTCCTGGAATCACTTCAAAATTCTTTTTATAATTTGAACTTCTGCCAATTATTAAGCCAAATGTACCCAAAGGCAGACCTCCTTTAACAGAGGTCTCTATTAATTGGGTCCCTTCCATAAGGGAGAGTACATAATCTTTATTTGCTGCCAAATCCAACCTAGCACTTCCTGGAGTGGCTCTAGGAAGATCATACTAAAAAGTTCGGTCAAAGGATTTAGTTCAAATTGTTTGTCTTTTTCCTTACCTGAATCCACCATGTCTATCCCTCTTTCTTTGAAGGGGCTGAGGGCTTGCCCCTCTCCTCATTTTATTTTTTTTATTTTTTTTCCTTTTCTTCTTCCTATCTAGGGGTGTCCCATCTTTATGATACTTAGACTTACATTCATTTTTCCAATGTTTTCCTTTCTTGCACCTAGGACAGATCACAGGAGGTTCTCGCTTATTACCAGGTTTTCTCTCTCCATTATTGCTCCTTTTATTTTTACTGAAACATTCTTTACTCATGTGACCTGGCCTTCCACATGAGAAACAGACCCCCTCGTAATTGGTCTGAGGCCTGCTTTTAAGATTCTGAACATAGGCGCTGAAATGCTGTCCCTTCACTGCTGCAGCATAGGCCATTCCTTGGACCACTGCTGGTGAGGCATCTATGCAGGCTTTTACATAATCCTGTAAAGAGCCTGTTTTCCTAATTGGCCTTATTAATTCTTTACATAGAGAGTTAGCATTTTCCCAAGCCAATTGTTTTAATAAAATTTCTGATCCCTCAGATGAAGGCATCATCCTTTGCAATGCTTCCTCCAATTTGCTACAAAATTCTCATATGTTTCTTCCTGTTTTTGTCTAATTCCAGAAAGAACAGTGGTTGTACCTCCTGCTCCTGGAAGTCTTCTCCAGGCTGCTACTGCCAATTTAGAAGTTTCTTCCAATACTGTTTTTGGTATACTAATACTCAAACTGATAAGGAAAGGCCCTTATTCTTTGATTGAGAATGCCCCATGATACTTTACCTACTGGTCAACTTAACCTGGTCATGCTTTACCAGTGGACCTGCAGCGCCCTGAAGAGATCTTATCCTTGCCTGAAATTTTTAAAAAGAGAGAAAAGGGGAGAGATAACTTACCCTCCGCATCCCTGTTCGGGCACCACCTGTGACGGACCAGCCCAGACCGGGGCAGTTCAGTCCAACGGGAACAGGGTCGTCAAGAGGGTGGACAAGGAGTCGGCTAGTGAAAAACAGATGCAAAGGAGCTTGATGAAAGTCTGAGTGTAATTTTTGCAGTTGCAAGGTTTGAGATATATACAGCAAAGATCACAAAAACCACAGAACAGTCATGCTAAGATGTACAATTCCAGAGATGAAAGTAAAACAATTTTGCTAACACATTTTTGTTGGCATCCTCTGTTATGCAAAGTAGAAGTCTCTTCACGTCCGGATAGCTCACGAGCTCGGAAACCATGTGCTGCACAGTCCTTTCATAGCAGAGTGCCTTCCTGGCATCCTCCCTGACTCTTCTTTTAAAGTGCTCACCACAAATACATGCCCTCTGGCACAGAAGCTACCAGGTTTTAATCAGGCATTGTCTGATAGCCTGATAGAAGCCCACCGCCCTATGTAAATGAGGCATCCTAAAAGTACCTATCAGCTAAGACTTCTTCTGCTGTCTCTACACTATAAATAGTCCTAGTTTTACCCCAATAAAGTTGAAGCTGGAGCTGAATCACTGAGATCTGAGCTGAGTCACTTGTCTTGAGCTGTAACACTAAATCCTGTGATCCAGTCTCCCCGGGGGGCGCTATTCCTCCGTTATCGGCCCACAGATACCCCAGCTTTCGCCGCCTCCGTGCCTCTTCCCTGTGGAGTTCACTGGCCAGGAACTCTGCAATCCTGAGGAAGGGTACAAGGGTGTAATAGAGGCGGGATTCCGACTAGATAATAATCTAGTAGCAGAGGAAGCTCTCCGCTCCAGAGAAGTGTGTAGCCATCAGCTACAGAGCCTATATCTGGTGCCACAACATGGAGCTTCTGAACCTCATGCCACAACGTGCAGCTTCTGAACCTTGTGCCACAACGTGGAACCTCTGAACCTTGTGCCAGCTAGGAGCTGGTGCCC